AAGGACTTGTCGCATATCGAAACCTTATTAGATCTCGTCGTTAATCTCCTAGCCTTATCACTCTCTGCTGGCGAGGCTTTCCTTCCTACCCCAGCTACGTACGACGACTTGTTCTACAAGGTTGTAGAAAGCGGAGAGGTTCTAGTGAAATTTCGCGACACATACGGCCTATCAAAACGACCTTCAAATTCAATAGATACGCTTATCAACGTCACGGCGCACTACAAGACCCTGCTAGACTCGGGCGGTTCGAAGAAGAATCTCACGAGTACGCAGGTAGCAGAAGTAATCAAGCAAGGCTATGAAACATTGAGCATTCAAACGAAGGAAGGCCTTGATGGATGGGAAAGATACCGCGAAGCAGATGACAGAACCCTACTGAAAAAGATGGCAAGAGCCACAGTCATGGATGTTAAGGTTATGGTACAGGTTTAAGAATTTTAATGATCTAATATTATTCATGGTGAATGTTGTTTGGAAGACACCTATCGACCGTTGATATTACGAACCCTTGGGATTTATTCTGTTCGTCTCAATCATAAGTCCTTAGGCAAGTAATTTCTACGGCCAGCTTCCCGATACTGCTGCTGGGGTTTGGTCGTGTTGTAATAGCCGACAAATTCGGACGTCTTTGACCACCGGAAGGAGTAGCTCCGGATAAACAGAGGACACGTCTGCGGTCCTACACTCGGTGACAACACCATCACGAACTTATTCTTGACGCATCATTACATTCTCTAAATGGCGACCACCGTGCTAACGCTGGTGGATTTGCGAAACGTGCTGTAAAATCACTAACATTCGCACTCGATCCGCTCAGCTCCAGAAATCTCGCAACCGAACGGGTCAGCATGTCACCCCTTTCCCGTCCGCCAAGTATCTCGGCCGTGGCCAAAATTGCCTTGTTCGCTTTCATCTCCCCTTGGCTATGGGGTCTTCTGTCTCCTCTTATCTCGCCGTTCTTACCGCACGCTCTTCGCCCGGCGACTCCTGATAACGCATCGCCCTATCCGGAATATGAATGTCGACCCCATCACTATTCAACAGAGCTCGTTTCCCTCGACCCGCTACTAATTTACATCGAAAACTTCCTGCGCCCGTCCGAGATCACCGAGCTCCTCGAAGCTGGTGAGAGCGCGTTCTCGCCTTCGACGGTTTTCAAGAACGGTAGACTAACCGGAACGCCCGACCGGACTTCGTCGTCGGCAGGCTTACCACGTGACAATCCGACCGTAGATTGCGTGCTGTCGCGTGCCCAAGGCTTCATGGGAAGCATGATCGATCCGAACAAGGATGACATCGGACCTCCACAACTCGTGCGCTATACAGCGGGACAACTCTTCAACAAACATCATGACTGGTACGATACCCCACAGCCAACGCGCAAAGGGATGCGCGGGCACGGAAGGTCATGGAACCGCGTGGCGAGCTTCTTTGCCATTCTCGAGGACAATTGCAAGGGTGGGGAGACCTGGTTCCCGTACATCGACAACACGCATTCTCGAAGAGACGACGTCCATCATCTCTGGCGAGCACATGAGGATGGCGGGCTCGCTTTTAAGCCTGTTGCTGGAAATGCGATCTTCTGGGTCAATTTACACGCTAACGGGACTGGGGACGATCGGACCATACATGCAGGGTTACCCGTCACAGATGGTTTGAAGACGGCTATGAATATTTGGCCGAGAAAGTTTTACGACTGAGCGGTGACCAGGGGCAGAGCTTGTGTCATTACGTGGCTGTCTGTGTCATTTTCAATTTGAATTTCGGTTCTAAGAGGTGATTAATTCTGTACCTTTCCCGGTGAATCAATTCCCACAACGTAGGACTTTCCAATTTTCTTCCTTTCGAGTATATACTTTAGTCATACAACAAATTTTATAGCTTTCTTAATCCACACAAGACCACAGAGCGAATTTGGGCCAGATGAGGCTCTATCGGACATAATATCTGCAGCTTCGCTGAGAGTAATTGTTGTTATTGCGGTATATAAAACCCAAGCAGCATGGCTGCCGCTACCGGTCTTTAATCTCAACCATACAGTATTAGGCTCATAGATCCAATATGTAAAGGGCACTTTGTGTTGACACTAGTCGAGCTTGGTTATTTATAGCTGTATCGTGGATGCTTCCCCCTTTCCATCATTAAATCTCTAGCCTCTAGGCTGTCGTATCTAAGTGGTAGCCAGCCGCAGCCGCATCCGACATAAGGCTTAGGTCCAGCAGCCTGCTCCGCTAGTACCTAAGAAACAAGAGGAAGCTGTAATAAGCATGCGGAGATACCTGGAGACGAGATTCTCGAGAGTTCTACTCAACACTAAGCTAACTAGCTAAATACGTAGACCACATTCCGACACATCAGAGAATAAATTTTGCGGCTGATATACTATTATCTCCATTAGGATGATTTGCCACACCGGCGGGGCATGACAGCAGGTTTTGAAGACGAACAGGTAAGTCTAAGATATACATCCTTCGAGGAATCCTATGAAACCCAAATCCTGCTATAATATGCAGTAGACGGATAATACCGCTCGCATAATACCATGTACATGCAAGCCGTTTGAGTTTTGATTCGCGTCGGCCTGCTCTTCCGCCATACTATGTCCGTCTTTCTCAACCCTTATTATATCATGTGACGGGGCAATTAGTTAGGCGCACTGGAACTTTCTTCATAAATCCCGCCCTATTCGAAAGACTATCGAGCGTCGTGATTACGATGGTTTGAGCACTTCCCCAGTGCCTCGAGTGGTATAATCATTTCGTCATGTTCTACTACGAGAATTTATTGTATTTCTTTTTGCTTGGTCCTGTCGTTGGGCTAATCATGTTACTCGCCATGGGGCGCGAGATTAGAGATGGCTTCCTCGACCTCATCACCAGAGGGGAGACATACAGCTTAGCCTTCTCCATAAGCAGGTTACGGGAAGGGCCTAAGCTACTTCTAAGGCTGGCATTCGCTGTCGCTCTCTTCATACCACTAAGCTATTTACGGTACTTGGCAGATATACCAGAGTTTACCATTGACATAGGACAGTTTGTTACCTCGAACAGAAGTGCGGGTGCGAATGCAACCAATGTAACCAATGTCAGCGTCAATGATGGGTTGAGAATGGTAGTTTTTGGTGGCGGCGACATCGCTACGCCGAACCTCTCCGCTAGCGAATGGGACGGCCAAGGACATGGATGGACCGAAGTCATGTGTGAAAAAGTAGAGTTCTCCTGGATCTTGATGTTGCTTTTAGAAGCTAATAATATCATAGCTAGGGTGCGATACCTACCTCTCTCTCGTCCCTAAAACAGAAGGCTTAGGTGGTGCTGTGGTGTCAAACTCGCTTCTCGATGCCGCATATAGGCACGTATCTACACTTGTGGTCGACTCGAATAGACACGGCAGCACGATCGAACTTGACTACTCCTGGTTTGAGGAGCAGTATCCAAGGCCCCATCAACCTGATTTAGCCGCCCAGGTCGACTCTTTTCTCTCGTCATCCCGAACAAAGCAAGCCGCCGCCGAGACGCTCTGGGTATTCAACGTTGGGTATTGGGATATCTGGTACCTCGCGGCTCTGCCGCGCAAGCTCGCAACCCATGTGATTGATTCGAGCGTTCGAGATCTATTCTTTCAAATTGAAAGGCTATATCAGGCGGGCCAAGTTCGAGAATCGGTCGCCTTCTCCGAGTATCATTCTACTCCGGATGCCTCTATTCTTACGGGATCGGGATCGGGATCGGGATCTAGAGCTGATAGTACCGCGCGGACACCCTTTCGCATATTCCTCACACGCCTCTTCGACATATCACTGACACCCGGATTTGCTACCGCACGCCCAAAGCCACCACACCCCCATTCGAGCGCCGGTCAACTACGCAACGCGGCATTCCTTACTAACTATTGGAATGCTTTACTCGAAGCAGCGGTGGACGACTGGCTCGCTACACCAGACCCGGAATACTGGTCTGCTACCGATACAATCGACCTCCAGGTCGTCAAGGCCCTGGTCGGCGAGCAACCATTACCAATGGGTGCGCCTTACCAAAAACATTACCACGCTGGGTATAACAGGGAACATGATGGCAAGATCACGCTGCCATACCGTGAATTCGCTTCGTACGGCATCTCACGCTATCTCCGCGAACTGATGATCGACCATCAGCTACGGAGTGCCGACCTCTTCGATCACAAGGGACTAGGCGCACGACCCCCCGAGGACGGCTTTCTAGATATCACGATGCCATGTGCTTTTGCGAAATCGGGCGACGGGGTCGGGGAATATAGAGGGGCCACCGACGCAGAAAGCAAAACGGTGGTGTGCGAAGAGCCCGACAATTATCTTTTCTACACGGGGTTCACCGTGGGCCAGCGTGCGATCCACGAGATCGGTGTGCGGGCTGCCAGACGGCTCTTGGATCAGGTAGAGGACAGTTCGAAGTGGAAAGAGAGAGCTAGAATACATAGGGATAGCGGGCGACAAGGCAAAGGACCCAAGACGACGAAATCGACGGCGTAGAGATGGGGCTCTAACACACTTCCGTTTGGGTTAAGGTTGGAATATCTGCGGGGGTGGCATCCAGCTGTTTCCCGTACTCAGGTAACCTAACACCCAAGGCCGCTGTTAAGGGTTTCGCGCTCTCATTCTCTGACCTTAGGTTGTATGCATACTTTGAGGTTTCGCGACATCTCCTTCAGCCTAGAACATCCGCGCCTGCGGGAATAAAATACTAGTCCTAGAATATGCTCAATTAGAATTCAGCATCGAAATGGGTTGTCTGCACATTAAATGCTCTGCACCAATTCCGATGGTGATGGTCAAAATACAAGAGGGCCGTCATTAGCATTTCACTCTCAACTCAACACTGCCGAGGCTAAGTTGGAAAATTGGAGGACCTTTATAAACAGGAAGTAACACTAAATAAACTACCTACCTCTGGTGGGCTTAGTTAGGCCATGCATGGTCTTTAAAAGACCAAAAATGAGAGAACAACTATTCTCTTGTGTGGTGACCTCGCTGGGGGTCGAACCCAGAATCTCCTGATTATCATGAAGAGTTAATCGATGTAACTCCTTTGTCGTAGTCAGACGCCTTGCCATTGGGCCACGAGGCCTTTACATGATTCGTCAAATATGTCGGACTTATGATGATGTGGGTAGTTTTAGCCTAGAGTGGGACAAGATCCGATTCGTGGACGAAGAAGGCCTTGGCATTCAAACAAGGACTAACAGCTTAAGGACCTACGTTTAGAGAGACAGGCATTCTTAATGATAATGATAAATAATGGTGGATGTTGGGTAGCATATATACGGCATAGATAGGTGGGCGTGCTAGCTATTCACGAGATTCCTGACGAGACAGTGTGCGTAGAGTATATATTAGTTTCTGCTATCTACTGCACAATTTGGTAAAGCCTTCCACGCTTTCCTCGGATATCTTCCTCCATTTTCCGGTCCTTGTGTACGTAATATGTAGCTAATTGATAGCTTTCAATCCTTTTTATGACATTTGTATAAGAATTTCCTCCGTCTGGGAGGTTGAGATTCTGAGTATGCCGGATTTGGCGAATTTATTGCATCCGTCAATATACCAGCGCATACCCTACGGTAAAAGAAATTATATCTTTACCGCTAGTAAGACTGCGAAAGACGAAACCTGTAGCTAACCACGGCCCATCAGGAACGGGGAGACTGGTCGAGATTCGTAGTTGATAGAGGAGTATTCTCGTCTGATTTTCCACCTACTCCATAGCCACTTCCACGTTTCGCGGCTGTGTCGAACTAGGAAAAGTCCCAGGGGTTTTCATCATTGGGAACTTGATTCACATGACTGCTCAAGGGTGAGGCTGTAAGAGGAGTATGGCTGTTGGTTGCATTATTCGTGTTGTCCGGATTGGCGGGGACGAAGTGATCATGAGTAAGATCCCCGTGTGCGTTTCCTGGCAACTTGCATTTGATCTTGCCACCACGGTGGTGACACTCCATGTTCTGGCACATATGGCCCTGAACACAGTTCTGGTCTCTACAAGACCCTCGACTGCTGCAAGGTAACGAACGCGATAGCCACTCTAGCGCAGGGAGTAGTTCTTCCGGGAGCGGCTTGTGTTCGTATCTACAAATCTCGTCGGTACAGGAATTTGTAAGTTGTTTGCTGTTGCAGAACTTTCTAATGCTAGATAGTTCCCTGAGCCTGGAAGAGGCCACCGGACTAGGGGGGGTTATGTAAGGATCTAGGCGCTGTGAGTTCTTGTTCACAGCCACATAGCCGTCCGGTATTTCACTCTTCTTTGGCAGTAGTTCTGCAGGAACGGCCCCATTGTCAAATTTGGATAGCGATGAAGTGGCTAGTGACTTCATACGACCGGAACCGCTTGCAGTATCACCATCAAAATTACCATAATGGCCGGCTTGAGAAGCATAAAGGGGCTTGGTTGAGTTGGCCGAAGCCGGAATTCTGGCATCAATGTGGGTGTTGATGCATTCCCTTCCAAATCGACACTTACCAACCGGGTAATATTGGCATATTTTCTGGGACTCCCGCGAACCGATACTGCGGTGGGCTGGATCGGACGCAGCAGAAGCGCCAGTCAAAGGGGTGGTCTTCATTAGATCGGTGCTCGAATTAGGCTTTGTGTTGAGGACGAGTCCCTCAAGCGGTACTGTACGAAAGATTCCTCGCAGTTCTTCGATTTCCAGATCCAATTTTAGGAACTGATCATGAAAAAGGAGACCGGATGATCGTACTAGTGTAAATCTGTCCCGGTGTCCCCTAAACTTGGTCAACTCTCCAAGATAGCCAACGTCATGACACACCGCAGCATAAATGTGCTTGCACTGAGCATTCTCGGCATATAGATTTAACAGAGCTCGTATCTTAAAGTCGGCGTTTTCCTTGAGCTCACCCGCATCGACGAAGTCCATTAGGCCATATGACCGGTTGAAGTTGGCCACAAAGGGGGAGAGAGATCGCTTATCGGCGGTGGCAAGCCCATGTTTGGAGAGAGTTCGGGATAAGTTTGCGAGATTGGCATAAACGCGAACCATTATGTCGCAATTGTCCAGGCCCTTTCTGCGGAGGCTTTGCTTAACTACGTTGTTCAGATGTTGAGCCAGCCGCGAGCCTCCATCAGCACCCATGTGAAGGAATTCATCTTGAAAAATGTATCCGTCTCCATCAATCAGAACAAGAACGAAAGGGTTTCGTTCCTGGTTACGCGCGAGCTGTTTATAGCGCTCTCGGTTAACTTTCTCCTCTTCGAAGTCACTCTTCAGTTGCTGGTAGCTGGTCAGAAGATCAGCATAGCGTTGGAGGAAGTCCTCCTCTGCACTAGTTGCACGGAATGCAGCTAGCTTCTTGGAAGCATCGTCGATTTCTTTATCGGTAAGTATTCTCGACATGGTGCAGATAGGCCAGTCCTGGAGAAACAGAAAGCTGTAGACGGTTGTAGGTAGGGGCCGAGTAAAGAATGGATAGCAAGTTGAGAGGGCTTCAAGGATACCTGCCAAGGCCCTACTGGCTACTGCTTGAGCCAAGAAGCGACTATACAACTTGTGCCAGAGTGAGTGTTGACGATGACATGTGAGAGAGTAAAGAAAAGATGTGAAATTCAGGGAATTGATGTAGAGACAACTCTTATGCAAACAGAGAAGTCCCAATGGATGGAGCTCACATGAAGTGAAGAGATGGACAATGGAGGTGAATCGATGCTTGTGCGCTGAAACCTGTCGACGGGCAACATGGTGGGGCTGACCTATGATTAGGCGGTCTACAGCTGTGCCTAATGGTGTACAGGCAACCGATAAGATGATTAGTTGGTTCGGCGGTATCACAGGGTCCTATCTTACGCAGGGGTCGCAGGGGCCCCAGCAGCTAGGCCATCTTTACCAGTACCTACCTAGGTAGGTGGACGAGCTTATTGCAGTAGAAATGCCTGAGCTTGTTTTTAAGTAAATATACTCCGTACCTACTAGGTAATAAACATCCATGATCTGATTCAAGCATTATATAATAAACATCTATGATCTTATTCAAGCATTATATAGGGTGTATACAGCCTTTATACAGAGACCCAGTATTCCACTTTTAAGTCATGGTGCTAAAATGGTATTCAAAGGGATATAGCCATGCTTTTTGTCTACCAACGTTTGTACAGTTTCATCATAAATTATAGATCTGTTTTAAGACATGGCTAATAAGGTAACATTAACAAGACCTAGAGCATTCTTGGATGATTAAGTTGAAGACGCTGATATAACAAGATAGAAATCTACCTTAGATCGCTACGCTATAACAACTGCTATTAGCCATGTTGGATCCGTGCCCGACTAACTATCGAAAACCCTCGGAAAGAGCCCCGTCAGCATAGAGAGCACTGGAAGTCTACCACCAATATTTCGATTACAACGGAGTATTTCCAGGCGGGTTAGATGGGCCCGGAGGCGCCGACGCAATGCAGCACTTTTCCTCATCGGAAAGTTTTCGTCATCAATAATATCGCCCTTATACCAGGCGTGTCCATTGAAGCCCTGGGCGGTGTATCCGATTGTTGGCATGTCGTGTGTGTGCCTGGCTCCAACCGTCAGGACAAGGACCTTTCTTTCGCCTTCACCGCTTTCGTTATCAACAATCATAACCGTGCTGTCGATCAGAGCTGTGATTTCTATAATCGAGAGACTCCTGTCATCTATTACTAATCTGTGAAGATAACCATAGAAGGCTGAGGTACAGAGCACATACAATTTCTCCTAGATATCCGTCCAGAGCCACTCAAATATAGTTCGATCATTCTCTCGGCATAGCCCGCCCGGTAGGTGCCATTTGCCCTGCTCTTCTATTACCCGGGACTGACTATCTTTGTTTTCTTTGTTGTATTCTGGGGGAACGTCCTCGCCAGAGTCATGCACAAATATGGGTTCGCCTTTTCTTAGGAATAATATAGAATACGGCTGTCCTTCGACGGACGAGGACAAGGCAACGTTGACGTAGATATCGTCGCAGCCTCTACCATACCACCGCAGGATATCTGGGGCCGGCTTGTTGAGCCACCTGACATGCCAAGTGCATTCAACACCCATCTTGTGAAACACTCGCTTTCCTTACATCATCGTCAGGAACGGAGTCTTAGTGGAACAGCAAAGGCTTACACTGAATGAGGCCGGAGGGTATAATGCTGTCTTTGGCAGGTTTTCTTCGGATATTGATGCCCAAAAAGGGTGAGACAATCCACCCGTCCATAACGACCGAATAAGATTCTTAGCTGGGATTGGTCGAGGTACCAATGCTTGATGAAGTGGAGTGTTAAGTAGATGGCTGCTGCTTCTTTGATAAAGACTCTACGAGCTAATGGTAAGCGAAGAATGATGAGAGGTGTACGAACTAGATGTTAGAACACGAGAAGAACGGGCGTTGAAAACGGATGGGTTAGACAGTCTGTTCTCCAACCATTGATTGCAAGATGGTTACCAGATTAAAAGCGTAAGTAACGTTGGACCATGTAACAGTAGGTGACGTCGGCGTTTGAGAAGGAGCGAACAATTCGCTTAGGATACTTTGTCATTAGGACAAGATGATGTTTCCATGATTTATTCTTCCGTCCACTTGGACTCCGTCTATTCTTTCGAGAAAGTTCGACCTACAAGAATGCTAGATGAAGGCAATCTTCCAGTATGCTCAAGCTTACTTGAAATGACGCATTGTCGAGGGATCATGGGAGGAACATAACTGATTTCGCGAGTTCGAGATAAGACCAAAGATATCGCCTACCTACCGAGCATCGGCTTGCATCGAAAAACTTATAGGGAAGCTGATCTATGAAGCCGATCCACTGTCCGGGGTAATAGCTAACATTAAGTGAGTTCTAACATATATAGGTTATTTTATTAGCAATAGCATTTGTCCTTTTAGTGTTTATTTTAACGTTATAACTTAAAAGGCACCTACCTAAGTAGGTACCTAGGTAGTGGAATCCACTAGGTTTTAACTGTATATACCTTATTAAAATGCATAACTCGGTTTTCTTCCACTCTACCTATCAAACCAAATGAACTCATCACCCTCGAACTCCAATCCCATCTTGATAGCCGTGTCATTCTGGAACACAAATTTCGCCGCCAT